TCTCAAATCTCTTAGTGTTGGAAACACATTAAAAAGAAGTGAACCAATAAATCTGCTGTTTGAAGGTTCGTATTGTTTGTCTTTCAGTCTGAGTTTCTTTAAGGACGCTTACTGTGAAATACCAAAGAGTAAGTCAAACCTGTAATTGGCTCCTTTGTAAATTCTTTGACTGCAAATCAAACAGTTTCCACACATTCATAGAGTTATGGTTGCAGCCCAACCTGTTGTGCAGCTTTAGTATAAATAGATCTGTTCTGTGATGGCCTCAACGTTTTGCTGGAAAGCTTCAGTAAATAAACCTAAACCAGGGTCATTAAAAATCATTAGAAGTAGGGATCCACGATATTGGGATTTTGGCCGTTATCCGATATTTTAAAACTCATGTAGCCGATAACCGATATCGATACCGATGTTAAAGCTGGACAAAAATAAGTAGTCATTGAAAATAGCAGTTTTGTTATCCATTTCTGACACTTTGAAAAATAATATACTCAAATATATTTTCATATGCTGATATCAAAATTGATTTTCAAAAACATGGTATCGATCTATTTTACTTTCAAAATCACGTGAAATTTCATCGTTCTGTTACAAACTCTCGTGATATTTTGCAAATTCTTGTGAGATTTTGTTAGTAAAATAGATCGATACCGCATCAATATATCAACATATAAAAATATGGCAAAATTTGGTGAATTTTCGGGGGATTTCGTAGCATAACGATGACATATAGCAATATTTCATTAGTAAAAGAGATTGATATGGTGTTTTTAAATGGCAATATATCAGCATATGAAGATATTGGGATATTTTAATGTATCAATACTTTTTCCCTCGTCTTTAGAAGTTTTTAAGTCTGTAAAAAATAAGTTTTTGAGGAAGAAGAAAAAGTAGTATTTTTTATTTTTTTTTTAGACTTTAGAAACTCAGAAGCTGATCAAATATCGGGTTAAATATCGGTGGGGTGGCCGATGTCCGATATTCAGTTTTAAGGCCGATACAGGCCGATACCGATAGTGTGCCGATTATATCGTGCATCCCTAATTAAAAGTCATTAAATTATTGTTTTTTAAATTAAGGTCTTAATTGGCATTAAAATTCATTGACTATACCATGGAATTCAAAATGCTTTATTAAAAATAACAAAATGTTCATGAAAACAATTTCGTCAGATATAACATGTTCTGCGTGTTTGCGCGGAACTGCTTCTGGTTGATCGTAAAGCCGTATGTGCGGAAAAGAAAGTCGATGCGGAGGAAAAAGGTAGAGAATGGGAAAATGCCAATTTCAACAAGTGTGTGTGGATCTCGGGGTTTTGTGGATGTGTGTGGACGGGTTTTTTTGTTTGTTATATATATGAGACTCATGGGTACCTATTGATGGCTTTAAAATGATTTCTAAGAGCATTAAAAAGCATTAAATTAGAGTTGCTCATTCCTGTATAAACCCTATAAACACTGCATCTCTCCAATGAAAGGTGGTTGAGAACATTACTTAGATGCTTTAGCAATCATATCCAGGAAGAACGTTAGGGTAAGGGATGCACGGTGGAGGCGGTGTGGGAATCTTATCAGTCTGTCATGTTATATAACTGGGTAGAGCTGCTTGAATGCATCCATATTGCATTTGGAGCTAAAGTTCCATTTAGTGTAAAACAATTTACCAAAGGTGGCCGCAGGTTTGTGTGTGTTTTCCCCCGACTAGACAGTGCATTTAGCAGCCATGCCTCGATCATGTGAAGCTTCCTCCATCCTCTGCCCATTGTTATTTTCCTATTTTTAATAAGGATTTCTTTTATGTTTAAATTATGATTAAATGTTTGCTATGATTGTGTCATTTCCATTGTGTAACTGGAGAAAAAAAGAATAGCAGCAGCAGATATTGGAGGTCGGTTAGACTGAATTTAAATCTTCACTTTGTTTTTGCTGTGTTTAGTGACAGCAGCTAGAGCTGCGTGCTTCTCTAAGAGCAAAGACCTGCTCCGTTTTCCCACGATTCTGCCCAGGATTACAAAGCAGGAAATAAATATAATATAAACGGTTTTACACTAGTCTCTTTTTTTCTAAAACTGCTACACTAAAATAAATGTGATTACCACACAGCTGTTGGTAATCGGCTGAATCAGTGGTTATTAGAACTTTTACCAGGTTTCTATTTCAGCACAGATTTTCTAGCTTCTGTTCTAGTCGGACGTCTCTGAAATGACGAGAAAGATAGAAATCACTCTACATCCCATGATATGTCAGACCAAAAATAACCAGTCATAATGATGTTTAATGCCTCCCCTTCCTCACCACCATCATCATCATCTGTCCAGGGGTCTACACGTCACTTCCCTTTTATTGTCCCTTCCTTATTATCCCTGAACTGAAGCTCAATTTGATGTTGGATAAAAATAAAAAAAATGACGCTCCATAAATCTGCAAGCTGCTTTCCGAGGTTGTGAAGTGAACTGAAAAACTGGTTTGGAAATTAGCTTTTAATTACTTTTAATGACTTGTGTAAAGTTTTATGCTTTACGAGCTCAGAGTTCTCATTGAAATCCTTGAAAGTTTGTAAGTTCAAGGTCAAGCAACATTTTAAACGAATACCAAAAAAAAAGACAACTGCCTTGAAAGTCCTTGAATGTTTCTTGGGTTTGCTGCCAAAGTGTCTTTACTTTTGGTCCTTTCTTGGCTGCATTCCTTGTAAACAGAATAGTTCATGTTTGCGTAACAGCAGATGCATCGATGCATGCGACATTCTCCAGGCTGGATTCCAGTCATTTGCAGATTTCAGGATTGTTTTTAAAGGACCCAATAATTTAACATCTACCTGCTGCGGATCAAACAACATTGACAGCAAGGATTAAGCTGCATTAACCATTGCAAAAATTATTCTTTGAAATTAAAAACTGGAATTTCTTAATGTTGCTAGCTAACATGAATGTATCTCACCCTCTAGCTTTTGGTTCTTTCGCTGCTTTGTCGACCTGGACATTTTTAGTATGAAGTTAGCCTAGCAGGTTGTGACGGATTACTGGTTGAACACTGCCTCAGCATGCTAACACCTTAAGCTAAAAATAGAATTGAAAATAGAACTACAGGATCAAAACTGCTGTTTTTCCTACAGCAGCTATTCCAAAATCTTTTTAGCCATGTACCCTCTTCTGTATCCCAACCGGGTTGACGCACCCACAATCCCTGATATTTTCAAAATTCATAGTCATATCAAAGGTGGCTTGTTTAATCATGCTCAAATACCCAGAACACATAATAGGAACAAAAACATTGCAATTAAGATTAGTGTTGCACCGATACCAGTACCGGGCAGGGCCCCGATCCAGCCAACAAATAGAGCAGCAATACCATTTTTATAGCCATGTTTATTCAACTATTGTCACCCATACCAGGTAGACAATAAAAATTTCTATTGGATTCCCTTTGTTTTAGTCTTTTTCCTGCTTCACAAAGGTAGGCAGCAGCTTGACAAAGCCATGATGGCAATTATTTTACATCCACGTAGTATGCAGTTCTTCAGATATACACACATCAATTTCAAACAGATGGTATCGATATCGGCTGATACTGCACAGCCAGGTTTCGGGGCCAAAAAATGGCATCAGTGCAACACCAGTTAAAATAACACAATCCTGTCATCATAACACATAATGGAAATCAAAAAGAACTGAAATTGAATATCTGCCACAGGATCCTGAGGATTTTCAGGTGCAGCAAGAGAAAGAAAGAGACACTGAGTTCAGTCAAACCTCTACAGAAAACCTGACAAGTCTCTAAACGTGGATTCACAGACTAAACTTTGATCATCTACCTGTGTGTGTTCTCACTTTCTCATTTCATGTACCTGCTTCCAATCTAAATCTGACTCACAATCTATGCAAAATAGAAACTTGATTTGTGTCCAATGACTAGAGAGGGAGAACTTTGGTAGTGAGACATGGAGTGATATAGAGCCAGCCTGATAACACTGTTATTAATCAGATAAATCAAATGTTATTTCCTGATTGTTTGACAGCGGTTACATTCAGTAAGTAGACACACCCATGGCAACCCACCACCCCCAACCAGCGGCCTGGTTCCCTGTTCCTGTCTGAATATGGGCTCAAAGTGCATCTTTTCAATGAACTGCGCCTATCTGAACCACATTACCAAAAGCACCATGGGTTGAAGCAGAGGCCACAGACCAGCTGCATACTAAAATGCACAGAGGGATGACTTCCTCTACAGTGTATCTTAAAATTAAGTATAGAAAAAGACCTATTCTGATTAAACCCATTTATCCTGTTAATTATTTATTGATTAAAATTAACATTTTATTATTTTACATAGGAAATTGTATTTTAATGTCTTTGTTGTGTCAAAAAAAATTTAATTGTTAGATTTTTTTTTTTATTTCTTCGTCTCACACATTTCCTATTGGCAGTTCACACACCACTGGGGTTGCACACACCACACTTTGGATGTTGGACTAAACAGTATGTTGGACATAGAAATATTGCAGTTTGCAAAAATAATGTCAGTACACTAAACCTGGCTGCAGGTTCATGTGTCATAAAAATAGATGATGTCACACTGCAGTGTTTGGCTGAGAATGAAAAGGCGTAGAGGTTCTTCTAGTCGCTGCTGATAGTTTCCATCTCAGGGCTACATTTAAAGCTTAGGGCTACTAGTTTAACTAGTTTAGCGCCAGCAAGTGGTGCACTAGTGCTCGTCAGCTCTCCTGAAAAACTGTTGCCAGGTCAGGTAATGCTAAAGCTAAGTTGTGGTTTATGCTAGTGGATATGATTATGAGGGAACTGGTCCTGAAAAGCCATCGAATTTTATGTTAAAGTGTGAGATCCCTGGAATCTAATTATCCAAGTCATGATAGATCATGAAGTGCTGCTTCATCTGGGGGTGGCAGAGGCAGGCCTTCCTGTACGTAGTGGTGCTATGACTAGTCAGATAGGCAGGTAGCCTGTTACTTTATCTTTTGCTAACTTTACTTTGTTTTTCTTGCAGTGACTCTAAGGAGTACAGAGGAGCTTGGAAGCCTTGAAAGCATCTGGATTAAAAAAAACCCTCCAATAATCCGTCAGATTTCTTTGAACTGATTTTGGACGACCTCCTACTGCTGCTCACTCTTCTTCAGGCGAGTGCAGGAAGGCAGCATGAACGTCACTTCGCTCTTCTCCTTCACCAGCCCGGCCGTCAAACGGCTGCTGGGCTGGAAGCAGGGCGATGAGGAGGAGAAATGGGCGGAAAAGGCCGTGGATGCTCTGGTGAAGAAGTTGAAGAAGAAGAAGGGAGCCATGGAGGAGCTGGAGAGGGCCCTCAGCTGCCCGGGTCAGCCCAGTAACTGCGTGACCATCCCTCGCTCGCTGGACGGACGGCTGCAGGTGTCCCACAGAAAAGGTCTGCCTCACGTCATCTACTGCCGGGTGTGGCGCTGGCCCGACCTGCAGTCCCACCACGAGCTGAAGGCGCTGGAATGCTGCGAGTATCCCTTCGGCTCCAAGCAGAAGGACGTGTGCATCAATCCCTACCACTACAAGAGAGTGGACAGCCCAGGTGAGAAAGTTCAGTGTTTTCTCTTCTAGAAGTTTCACCACTGAGGAAAACACATACAATATGAATAGAAAACAAAAGACCTTATTTTCTATGACTGTTTTATTAATGATGCAGCATCAGTTGGAATTGATTCTTCTGCTGGAGTTTATAGCTGGATGTGACTTTCTGGACTGAAAAATATTGTAATAATTCTTTCATTCTACTTTGATAATGTAATTGTTTTTTTTTTTATCTGTTCCTTTTATGTTGGGAAATGTAAAAGAAAAAAATCTATGATGAAATGAATTTAACTTAAAGTGACTTTTTCCTCTGCCTCGCTCCATTCCAGACCGTCTGCAGCCTACAGCTTCCGCTCTTCCTCTCGTCTTGCTTAAAGCTTGAGGAGAGCAAGCGCGATATTATTATTTCATTCATAGGAGAAAAACGTGCGGAAATGAATAATCTAATATGATATAATACAAAAATAATCCCCATCAGCATCCAGCATATGTGCAATTTCTGCCCTAATACTTTTGTTTTGTTGTGGATCTTTGTAACAGGGATAACTTGGATCATACACAATTAGTTTGTATGAACTGTGTTTGTTTTCTACTTCCAAACTCAGCATCTCTTCATCCATGATTGCCATAAGAAGTTCTCAGATGCGCTCTTGGAATTTATGACTGGATTTGATGAAACTTTTAAGCCTCTCGATATGAAATAATTATTTTGATAGAGATGAGAAATCTGCTTCCTGGTATGTTGAGGCACCAACAGTTTGCATCCAATAATCTAAACAAACGGTCTTAGTTTTTGGAAATATATAAGAATTACACTCTTAATTTGTGTAATTTTGTGTTGCTGATCTGTTATTACTATATTTTAATTTGACAAACCCGATCTTCACGACGTTCTTTTTCCTGTTTGGTGCGATTGCGTTTGCGGATATTGACCTGGCCGGACCGGATCAGAGCAAAAAATAGCTTGGCTCCGTATTTTTCACGGTTAAAGACAAGGATGTACGTGGACGGTGACGTGCGGAGGAGTAGCGGTGGATGTGGAACAGTTCTTATAGATTTACATGAATGCGCAAGCGCTCCGCACGATGTACGTGAGCGGAGCAAAGCAAATCTGGTGGTTAAGGGTTTTTCAGGAATTCAGATCCTGCTGCGTATCAATCCCCCCTCTGTGTGACCTGCTCTCCTCTAAATTTAGCCAATCAGATCTGCCCCTGAATGGGTCATGTGTCCTTGCATTGAATCATAGAAATAATCATCAACCTATTCAGTAATCGATTAATCTTTAACTGGAGTATACATTGGAAAAATGATCTAGAAATAAGTTAAAATGTCTTAAATTAAGCGTATTTACCCTTATTTTGAGTAAGTAAATGAAAGAGTTTGCCAATGGAGTGTTTTTACTCTTAGAATAAGATAATTAGATAATATGCACTTGAAATTAGACAATGCAATTGTGTTTTCTTATTTTAAATGTAAATAGTCTTGTTCCATTGGCAAATTGTCTCTTTTACCTCCACAATCCAGGAACAAATGCACTTATTTTAAGAAAAAATGACTTATCTAGAGTTAAGAGATTCTAAAACAGTTTAATCTATGTTTATCAGTTGCAGTCCAAGTTATGTTAAATTTAGTGGTAATGCACTAAAGTTAACAAGCACCTGAGTAAGTACTCGATACCATTTTCGATACCATAAGGATAAAATTTCAACAGAAATATTTTGATTAATAATTAAAATACAATAAATAAATAAATACAATAAACAATAAGAACAACATTTTGAGGTTGTTTGCTGTGCACAGTATTTAGCAAGCTTGATAAAAAACTTACAAAATTAAAATTAAGTTTTCCTTACTTGGCTATGCTTTACACACATAACAATGACACTAGCCAAACCGGTTAAACAAAAATAATTCTCAGCAGCTGCAACTGTTACAAAAAAAGTCTGAAACTGAAAAGTGCACAGAATTATTCAATCACAGTGTTCAGAAAGTGCATTTTCCTCTATTCTGCACTTTAGATGAATGACTGTTTAGTTGCGACTGGTACTCGATACTTTTGAAAATTAGTATTGTATCCGGATACAACATTTCAGTATCGATACTTTTTTGAGTAGCGATACTTTTGACAACCCTAGTAGGAAGGAGGAATGATGTGAGACACATGAAGATAACATTAAGGAGGCAAGAAAGAAATGCTAATTAGAGGCGTTTCCCTCTATTAGAGGACATTAACCAGGTGATGCAAAGCATTGAGTCGTCACACGTTTAGGTTACATCTGACTATAGTAAACAGGAAGTAAAGCTAGCTAGCTGGACCTTAGATCATCGATGGGCTTCTGAATGTGGTAGAACCAGACCAGGTGTTCTTCCTTTCTCACATCAGCTGGTATTATTTTTGGTTTCTGCCATCCAGAGGTTCAGTCCTAGCGCTTCATTCAGGGCGCCGGCAGAAGAAACAGCCGATCAGTCATGTAGCTAAACTGTGTATTATAGAACCTCTATAGCTCATTAAAGGCTCAGTTATGCTTCATTCAGCATCGTCTGAAGCTTTTATACTCTGCATCTTCTCTCTTGCACCTAATATTGTGGCCAACTCTTGGGGAATGTGTTCCGTGCAGACTGCATGCTTAAAACCAATACAACATGAGAGCGTAAAAAACTGCTCTTCCCAACATTTCCTAATCCTGACCATCATTTCTTTCCCAGAGTTTTTCTCAGCCTGTTGATGGTGGGGATTTTAGTCCCTAAATATCACCACTACAGGATGCCTGTAAACCCTCACCTGAACCGTTGTTCTTCATGTTTTTCCTTTTATAACTGTGTAGTTGCACATTTTCTTTCATGCCCGGTGTGGAAAAATCAGGCAGCATGGACGCTGGATGGAGGGCCGTTGAAGCTAACATGACGTCATTTACTGTGGCGGTCTGCACCGATATGTCAGAAACAAACCAGGTGTCAGTCTTATTCAAAAAACTTCAGTAAACACTTCAATCACCCCGAAAAATACTAATATTTTTCTTTTGCTAAATTTAGTCGATTTAAATGTTGCTGTGTCCATCAGCTGTTGCGATACTTTGAAATGAGCTTAGAAATGTTTAAAGGAAGCCCATGAAGTGAGGCTGATCTGATCAGATACAAACAGGCATGTGTGAAAGCAGTGAAGCTGTGGGTGGGTGTGTCCATTGGTGCGTTTTGGGAGCAGGAAATTCCATCTGCAGGAGAACAGAGGCTTTGTTTGGGGCATGCTCCGTGTTGCAGACCCCTCTCAGCTCACTAACACAATCTAACACACATGTTGTGTCACACTATCCTTGTGGGGACCTTCCTTTGACTTCCCACTGATTTAAACCGAACTTAAACTCACTTCACACCTTAGTCCTTAAACTGTCCTCCACCAAAAGAGGGGAACTTTTCCTCATGGGAATCTGTCTTTGGTCCCAACGAGAAGTCCACAAAATGTTGCACATTTCTGGCAAAGTGTCCCCACAAGGTAACAAAAACATGGCCACACACCCAGGATTGTGTCGGGGGGGGTTCTATTGAGTTTAGCTGGAACAGGAAGACCGTCTCTCACACAATGGGAGGAAAAAGTGGCGGCCTGCCTTGCACACGTTAAGCTTTAGCAGCAGCTGTCTGGGGATTCAGCTCCACGCCACCTGTCTGTTCACCAACACCACCCACGTCCAAATACACTTCCTGTCAATCTCCCTTCATCAGACAGTCGGCCTGCAGCACATTTAATCTCTGAGGTGACTTCTGCCCTGATGCGTCGGCCTGTTGCTGAGCGAACCCTCTGGAAAATTCACCGAGCTGCTCTCAAAGGCCGCTCAGGTATTTATAGATACAAGCGGAGCGTATCGCTGCGCTTTCTGCTGCACCTGAAAAGCCATCAGCTGGGATATTTAGTCCAAGTGATGAATTCCTCAGGAAGGCTTCACCTCATAACATCTTTCAGAGCAGAAACCCGAGAGCCGTGGTTGGAGCCAGAACCTTCTGGCCGAGGCTGACGTTTGAAAAATGCGCCGACATCTGCGCTCAGAATGTTGAATCAGGGAGAGCAACAGAAAGACATCCGGGATTAATCCCACGTTGCATGCAAGCGATCGCAGCTGATGTGTGTTTGTGGAGAGAAAAAAAAACGTCGACCTGCCTCTGAGGCAGAACAAAGGGGACGGCTGCAACCTTTTCTACATGCTGTCACATAACCGCCATCTGCAGCAGCTCGTACATCTGAGGTTAAAGTGCAAAGATAGACCGTCCTAAGGAACTTTTTCTTTTAACAGGTAAACATGTGCGGGGCCTTTAAATTCAGTCTCCTCTCAAACAGCTTGCCTTTGAAGACACAGCTGTCTGCTAACAGTAACTAGGTTTACATGCTCAACATTTTACAATCAGATTGAAATTCTTAGATTAGAAAAAAAACAAAGACTGATTTATTCTGTTAGTAGCTAGCCAGAGCCTTTAGCGAGGAGCTCTGAGGTCCGCTTCCATCATCCAGAATAAATCGATCCTGAGAGTTCTTTCTATCATTACTGGCTTTTTTTTTTTTTTACCCTGTGCCAATATTTTTATATTCCTCTGAGGTTCTAAAGAAGCTTTTGGCTTCAAAGGTTTTGGCATAATGTTAGAGAGGTCACCAGGATGGGTTTACTTTTGTGCACCATTTACTGTGAAGGAATGAACCTTCCTCTGTGCCACATGAGCTCAGACTGGATACAGCAACAAAGGTTTTAAGCAGAAAGGATTAGTTTGAAGGAAAATAATAAAATAGTCCCCTAGGTCTGGAAGTTTATGTGATTTTTGTGGAGGACTTTGAAGAAGAGGAGTCGTTTTTTTTATGATAATAGAAAATCTGACTCTTTGGCATGGTGGTGGCTGCATCACGCTGTGTGGGAAGGACTGTGAGTGCTGGATTAGAGATGCAGCTGTAATTGCAAGGAAACCTGAATGCATATTTTAGATTTCAGCCTTATTTTTCTCACTTTCTTATAAAATATAAAACATTTTTTCAACTTGAAAATCTGGAGCTACGCTTTGCTTGTATATAATTTACCTTTGAAATCTCTTAGTTCTCAGGTTTTTTCCACAATAATAGGCCGTGGTAATCAAGCAACTTATAAGACCAGCAGTTATTTTTGGCTGATATTAACCTTTTTCTCTGGTTTCAGTATCTTCACACTTTGGATGATATATTAATGCATTTAGCAGCCGTGACTTTAGAACAAATGAAGGAAATGGATCCCTGCTCCTTCCATCTGTTATCCATTGTTAATGTTTCTGTTTGATTTATTAATAAAGTTTTCTTCTTTGTTTTAACTGAGACTTTGCATAACATTTGTTATAAATGTGTCATTTTTATCATGTTACTGGGGGTTTCTGTATCTTTAGTATAATGTGACAAAACACAGAAACATAAAAGTCTTAAAGCCCTGAAGGTTTCACTAAATATATCTGCATTAAAATACAAAACTGATAGAAGTCAATCGGTTCTGATTGGATCGGAGAATTCTGGCTTCCATTTTTTATGTTTTTTTCCTCTGTAACCTTTCTGGACGTCCTCTGCTTTCAGTGCTGCCTCCTGTTTTGGTACCAAGGAACAGCGAGTTCAACGCCAAGCACACAATGCTGCCTCGCTTTCGGAACCCGCTTCAGCAGAACGAGCCACACATGCCCCAGAACGCCACCTTCCCAGAGTCCTTCACTCAGGCAAACACCGTCCCCTTCCCTCATTCTCCAGGAAACGGCTTCCCAAGCTCCCCCGGCGGCGGCAGCAGCGCCACCTTCCCTCACTCGCCCTCCAGCTCGGACCCAGGCAGCCCGTTCCAGATGCCCGGTAGGACCAATGAGTTCTGCTTCTCCATTCCCACCACACTGAACCGCTGTTAACTTTCTATTTAATTCTGGATCTCCCCTGATGCAGAGACCCCCCCACCTGCTTACATCCCCCCAGAGGAGCAGATGACGCAGGACTGTCCTCAGCCAATGGACATCAACCTCATGGCTCCCCCTCTGCCTACAGAGACAAACAACCGGGCAGGTAACCATGGAGGTTGTTAACCCCCCCCAGAGAAATCACAGGATGTCTGGCAGATAAAACTTGGGCCTGAAAATTTCCTGTGAGGTTTGGTCTGAATGTTGTTCTACACATAGAAGAACTGAAAAGGACTTTATTGAAAGGAAACGGCTTCAGTTTGCCTCAATTCTTACATCTTTCTGTCAATAATAAAAAAAAAAAGGATAGAAAAATGGCCAATCATGTGCAGACGCATGAAGGTCCAGTTAAAAACACACAAATACAAAAACCAAAGTTAAAAAAAAGGTGCAACTTTTAAAAACATAATACAATAACCTAAGTTTAGTTCCCCAGTCCATTAGGGGGAGTCAGTCACCATGCTAGAGTATAGCTGAGATAGAGAGGACGAGGCAAGGCCGTGAAAAGATTTATACTATAAGTCTAATGTTAAACATGCAGATTATTCACAAAAATGTGAGTTTGGACTCATGTTCTCACCAAATCTGTTCCTGAAAACAACACAGGAAGTATGGGCTCACACATGCCTCGTCTTGACCTGTATTTCACCACCTCTTGTTAAAAGTCTCTAGATGATCATAAAAATAGTACTTATTTTCTATTTAGTAGGATAATCATGATTATAATGTACAACTAATAGTGTACTGAATAGGCTGGATAAAATGTTTTAAATGTTACATTTTTATAGTGTTTTGATGTTATTCCGGCAAATGTTTAGTAAATAAAACAACCCAAGTCAGATAAACACAAATCAAATAAATGATTTGCCAAATAAAATAAAAGCTGCCATTAGAGCCAGCTGTACTTCACACAAGACAGAACCGTGAGAGGGCTGCTGCAGATGAACTCACGTTAGCCCAGGGTGCGGTTAGCCTCAGAGCGCCGCTGGTTGCCACGGTCCTTAAGATCAGATTTTTTTTTTTTTTGTAGGGAAATCATATTTAAATGTCAAATCATTCTGCCTTGAACATGTATATAAATGTATTATTGTCCCAAAGTTTAGAAAATTTCTGTTGATCTTGATGATGTCTTAAAACCCCTGGGTGTTTTTGTTATTTTATGAAGGCCAGTTAGTTATACATCAGCCTGAACACCTAAATTCGGCCAATCATATAACAACGGTCATCTGTCAATCAAATTTTTTCAGTCATAGCATCTTGATTCTTATGTCGCAGCTAATATACTCAACGGTTGAAATAAGAAATAAAAATAATTTCCTTTCCCATTGAGTTCCGTCCCAGTGTTCACGGGGATGGACGTCTGTGTCTTCAGCAGGCGTAGAGCTAACAGAACTGGCAGCGTTGCGAGGCAAGGGCTCAAACATGTACGGCTGGAAGCCTTCTACACCAATAACTTCATCCCCACTTTCCTCCTCTAAGTAAAAAAATATGACGGAGGAGGCTAGTCCACGACCTCCGATGCAAAACTCCCTGCATGTTTCCCCTGTCCATAATGTTCCTTGACAGGGTCGATGCTAAGTGCTACGGTCGCAAGAGTATTGATTCATGTTTTTTTCCTCTCGGATCTATTTTTATCCATTTGCTCCTGGACGT